AAACCAAGCCAAAAGCAGCACAGACAAACAGGCAAGCAAGCAAAAAAACAAGCAAACACAAGCAAACGAAAACAAGCAAAAAAGCAAGCCAAAAACAAAAAACAAGCAACAAACAAACAAACAAAACAAAACAAAACAATATGCAAAAAGCCCCCACCCCACAAAAAAAGGAACAAACAAACAAACAAAAACGCACTTAGGCCCTGGCTGCGTCCCGAGGCGCACGAGCAGCGCCCGAAGAAGAGCGCGACGAGGGACCCGTCCAAACCCGAGGTTTAGGTCGGGCATGTCCCACTACAGGCCGATTTTCGACGAAAACTAAAAAGCACTCAGACAATGCTCAAAAATTGTTTAAGAAATACTTGAAAAATCGCCCCCTGACTATTTTGGGGCCATTTCTGAATTTTCGCCCTGCATAGGGACAGCCCCGTCCAAACCCAAAAGGTGGTCCTTACACCACTCGCCAGGAACTTCACAGCGGCGGCGGCACCTCCTCGATCGGCCGCATCCCGCTGCCCAGGGCTACGACCCGAGGACCCTGCTGACCAGACGACCGGGTGGCACGTCCGGGGCCCCACACGGAACTCCACCTAAGGCCCCGGTGGCGGTGTTCGCATGCGCCCCCCCACCCAGGACACCGTTTCGTGGCCCCACAGGGAATTCCATCCAAGGCCGCATATGGCGGTGTTCGCATGCGTCTGCCCCACCCAGGACAGTGCTTCGTGGCCCCACATCGAGCTCCACCTACGGCCCCCATGGCGTGTTCGCATGCGTCCCCCTACCCAGGACACCGTTTCGTGGCCCCACAGAGAGTTCCATCCATGGCCCCTGTGGCGGTGTTCGCACGAGTCTCCCCCGCCCAGCACAGCGTTTCGTGGCCCCACAGAGAACTTCACTCAAGGTCCCAGTGGCGGGGTTCGCATGCGTCTCCCGCCCAGGACAATGTTTCGTGGCCCCACATCGGGCCCCACCGAAGACCCGAATGGCGGTGTTCACACGCGCCCCCCCCAAGCCAGGACAAAGTGTCGTGGTCCTACAGGGAACTCCACCTGAAGCCTCAGTGGCGTTTCGCATGCGTTTCCCCCCTCCCAGAACAGCGTTCCGTCGCCCCACAGGGAGCTCCACTTAAGGTCCCAGCGGCGGCGTTCGCATGCGTTGTCCCCCACCCAGGACAGCGTTTCGCGGCCCCACAGGGAACTCCACCTGGGTGGAGCGACCTGCAAAGCTGCAGAGCCGTGCATGGCGCACTGCAAAGGAGGCACCGCCTCGTGGCCCGGAGAAGGAGACACCCACACACACACACACACATTTCGCGCCCCCCCGGAAGAAACCCCGCCGAAGACTGGACACGCAATCGCTGCACCTACATCTGAATATGGTTGGGTCCTTCGCCGGGCTGATCTTATATCTTAAACCAAACAAACAAGTTCCGCAACCCGTTTCTGCCGATCTAATTAATAGTACATGTATATGACATATGCATATAGAAACTTATTGTGTTTTGCATCGTTTATATTTGCTGGAATATGTTTTGTGTATCTGCTATAAGCATGTGTATGGAATGTATATATATATTGTGTTCAAATGTAGCAAATGTGAACTCTGGAAAAGAAACAGTAGGTTGTTCAACATGTCCAGAACATGCTGCCAAACGGGTTTTGCGCGCGCATGTCAAAATCGTGCGAACGCCGCTGCGTGCGTGCCGTCGCGAAAATCTGTTACGAGAAATGGAACGAAGTGCACGTGCGCGCGTCGTCGCGCGCGCATGCCGAAATCCTGCCAAAACCTCTGGTTTCGGAAGGATTTCAAAATCGAGCTCGTAAAACAAAATTATATCAAAAAGGGTTTCGCAAGACTGATGTTCAACTAAAGCGTGCGCGCGCTCTTGCGAATTCTCAAGAAAACCATACGTGTTCAACATGTTCAAAAAAACTACCAAACGGGCTTCGCGCGCGCATGTCGAAATCGTTCGAACGCCCTTGCGCGCGTGCTGGGGTGGCAGGGGTGGCACGACCCGTGTCAAATAATACCGTGCAAGCCATTATCGCGCGTCCGCCGCGCGCGCATTTCGAATTCCTTCCAAAACCTTCATCACTGACGCGAAGACGCCGTCATCGTCGTCGGCGTGATCAGCATCGGCTCCGTCACTGGCTGCCTCGTCGTCATTGTCAGCATCGCCACCAGCATCGCGACTATCACCATCGTGTCTACCATTGTCGACGTTGCCATGATACCGCGCCCGCCCAAGCCGCCGACTCGCACTGAAGTACTCGCTGGGATGTGCCGAGCGGTCACCGCCACCGCGTTCGCGTGGGTCACGCCAAACTAGCTGGCTGCTGCGCGCGCGCATGCGCGGGCTGGCGCGGCCGCAGAGATGCACTTGCCAGCGCCAAGCACTCATCGCAATCGCCGCCGCATGAAGTTTGCAAACCAGGGCTGTAGGGCTCCAGGGCTATAGGGCTGTAGGGCTATAGGGCTATAGGGCTATGGGGCTCTGGGGCTATTGGGCTATTGGGCTAAAGGACTACAGGACCATAGGGCTGTGGGGCTATGGGACTATAGGGCTATAGGACCAAAGGGCTATAGGGCTATAGGGATATCGGGCTATGGGGCTATAGGGCTATAGGACTATAAGCATATAGAACTATCGGGCTGTAGGGCTATAGGGCTATAGGGCCATAGCGCTATCGGGCGATAGGGCTAAAGGGATACAGGGCTAACGGGCTATAGGGCTATTGGGCTCTTGGGCTATAGGGCTATGGGGTCATAGGGCTGTGGGGCTAGAAGGCTACTGGGATATAGGGCTATACGGTTCTAGGGCGATAGGGTTCTGGGGCTATCGGGATATAGGGCTATAGGGCCATAGAGCTATAGGGCTCCAGGGCTATAGGGTTATAGGGCTATAGGGCTTTAAGGCTGTAGGGCTATAGGGCTATAGGCCTATTGGGCTATAGGGCTATTGGTCTATTGGGCTATGGGGCTATAGGGCTATAAGGCTCTAGGGCTACAGGGCTATAGGGTTATAGGGCTATGAGGCTCTAGGCTATAGGGCTATAAGGCGGTAGGCCTATTGGGCTATAGGGCTATCGAGCTATTGGGCTATAGGGCTATAGGGCTATAGGGCTTAAGGCTGTAGGGTTATAGGGCTATGAGGCACCCGTGCACCGGGGCACCCGGGCGGGCCGCGGAAATCGGTGACAAACCTCACCTAACCATTTTAATCCGCTAGGACCCCTACAGAGGCAGGCTCTGATTGGAGAATATATCGATTCCGGGGAAAAGTACGGGAAATTAAATCCGCGCAAGACAGAAATCAGATCCACGACACTGTCGCATACCCGAAAAAGGACCCAATTGGATACATCGGTCTTCTCAGATTGTCAATCCAAGAGGAAAAAACTTTCGGCCTGGGGATGTACGAGACCAAGACGTCGGATGCCTGGGAAGCGTCGTCTGTTACGGACAAGTCCGCGCGGCATCTCTTGGGCCGGCGGTGGGAGCCCCACCCTGGGCGTGCGCAGCGCAGCGCGCCAGGTGTAGGGGTCCAGCGCTGATCCAAGAGAGGGGCGCGGACCTTCGTAAGCTGATCTTAGCTGCCCCGACACTTCGAATGCTGATACGGAGCTCAACACGTAGACCGAAGGCGTAGGTCTGACGCAACACGTTCGTCAAGACGTGTGCTAATAAGCCGAGCCAACACGCAGCGTATTGTTACAGATGATCAGCACGGCGCGTGCTGCGTATCAAAACGAGCGCATCGAGGCTGCTAATAAGTTGATGCTCGTAACGTTTGGCTTGCAATGGGCCGCCCTCCTCCTCCTCCTCCTCCTCCTCCGCCTCCTCCGCCTCCGCCTCCGCCTCCGCCTCCGCCTCCGCCTCCGCCTCCGCCTCCGCCTCCCCCTGCCCCTCCTCCTCCTCCTCCCCTCCTCCTCCTCCTCCTCCTCCTCCTCCTCCTCCTCCTCCTCCTCCTCCTCCTCCTCCTCCTCCTCCTCCCCCCTCCTCCTCCTCCTCCTCCTTCTCCTCCTCCTCCTCCTCCTCCTCCTCCTCCTCCTCCTCCTCCTCCTCCTCCTCCTCCTCCTCCTCCTCCCCCCTCGAGGCCCGTCCTTGGCAGGCATTGCTCCCCAGCGGCCGCCGACCGCTGCCGAAGGGCCAGCTGACGGGCAGGGGCCCCGAGCCCACGCTGCCGCCGCCAACGCGTGCGCGCCGCGGGCGGGCGGGCGGGAGGCGTCTGAGGGCCGAGGATCGAGGCACGAGGGCCGAGGCACGAAGACCGAGGCACGAAGACGAAGACCGAGGCTCGAGGCTCTTGGCTCGAGGCTCTCTCGGCTCGAGGCTCTCTGGGCCGGGGGGCGGGGGTCCAGGGGCCGAGGGCCGGGGCTCGAGCTTCGAGGTTCCAGCGTCGAGGCTCTCTCGGCTGGCTGCTCTCGTCAAATAGCGCGCCCCCTGGGTTTTGTGTTGTGTGTCTCTCCCTCTCTCTCTCTCTCTCTGTATATATATGTGTGTATATATATATGTCTATCTCTCTCTCTTTCTCCTTATATCTCTCGCTTTATACACACGACCACATATATGTATGTCTCCTCCTCGGGCCGCCCTTCTCCGCGTCCTAATCCCTCCTCCATCCTCCGCCTCCACCTCCTCCTCCTCCTCCGCCTCCTCCTCCCACCCCTTCTCCATCTTGATCCTCACAGCCCACTTATCTTGAATCAAAACGGAGGACGAACTTGAACTGCAGCCGAGGGCTGTCTGGCATTCAGAGGTGCGCCGGGCACCGTAAACAAGTCTACGGAGATGCTCTTGCTCGGTAGATGAGCTAATGGATGGTACGAAATCGTTCGTGAGCGTCTCGTCCCGTGTGCGAGGTATCAGCACTGCGAGGAGGAGGAGGAGGAGGAGGAGGAGGAGAAGGAGGAGGAGGAGGACACCTCCGCACTTCGACGACATGTCTTTTCCTCGCGGCGCCCGGGCCGTTTGATCGGGCGAGCGTGCTCCACGGGCGCTCAGGCCTTCTTTTTCTTGGCGACCTCGGCGGCACGCGCCTCGAGGAGGGAGGAGGGAGGAGGGGAGAGGAGGAGGAGGAGGAGGAGGAGGAGGAGGAGGAGGAGGAGGAGGAGGAGGAGGAGGAGGAGAGGGATGAGGAGGAGGAGGAGGAGGAGGAGGAGGAGGAGCAGGGCACGCGCCTCCTTCTTCTCCTTCTGGTACTCCGAGAGGCGCTTGGCGTACTGCTGCTTCAGCTCCTTGCCGGCCTCCATCCTCTTGCGGGTCGCGGCCTTGAAGTAGCGCTTCCTCTGCAGCATCGCGGGGGTGACCAGCCGCTGGATGCGGGGGGCCTTGGACTTCGGCTTCTTGCCCTCGCCGCGGTCGATCGCGCGGCGCACCACGAAGTGGCACGGGTTGTCCTTCTTCTCCAGGTTGAACAGCTTGCGGATGTTGGCCGCGCGCTTGGGGCCCAGCCTGCGCGGCTTCTGGTCGTCGGTCAGCCCGGGGATCTCCTCGGCGCCCTTCTTCACCAGCGTGAGCGCGAGGACGGCCAGGTCCGGGCCCACCACGCAGCCGCGGACGGACTTGCGCTTGCGGCAGCCGGCGCGGCGCTCCCGGTAGCAGGACATCCCCTTCTTGAACAGGAGGCGCACGCGGTGGTTGCAGAGGATGCCCTGCTTCATCGGGAACCCCTGCTTGTCGTTGCCGCCGGAGATCTTGAAGACGTAGCCCTTGAACTCGTCGCCGAGGGAGTCACCCGCCACCTCGACGGACATGCGCTTGTCAAAGAAGGGCAGCAGCTTCTTGTCGTCGTCGACCTCCAGAAGCTTCTGCATCCCCGTCGTCGGGTTGGCGATGTTGAGCTTCATGGCCCTTCTGCGACGGAGTAGGCGGGCGGGCGGGAATGTGAGAATCCGATTCCGAGCCACGCTTCGAGCCAGAGTGGCGAAGGAGTACTGGCGGAAGAGTGGTTTGGCGGAGGTGCGGAACGAGGACGCACCTCGCTTCCAGGCGGCTTGACGGAGGTGTTCCCCAAAGTGGCGGCGTACCCTCGTAGCAATCCAGTTAAGAGAGAGAAGCCTGACATCCAGCGAGCCGAGGCCACAGAGCCGAACTCGATCCAGCCAAAAGTGCCAGACTGTGCATGTCGGGGAGCGACACGCGGAGGGCAGACCACACGAATCGAGCCGAGCCGATTGACCATGCTCGAGAGACAGAAACGCAGGGGGAGAGAGAGAGGGGGGGGGGAGAAACACAGAGAGAGGCTGAGAGCGTCGTCGGTATTGTCTTCCAGAGGCGAGCCCAGCAGTGAGCGTGGAGGGGGCGGGCCTCTCAGAGAAGGCTCGGGAGGCCCCCGGGCCTTCTGAGCAGCTGTCCGAGCCTTCTCCGAAGGCAGAGACGGCCTCTGCGGAAGGCCGGAGGGCTTCTGGGAAGCCCCGCCGCCCTCTGAGGAGGCCTGCCCCCTCTTCATTCCCCCCTGGGCGTGCCGCCCAGAGAGGCAGAGAGCGTCGTCTGCATTGCTTTACCTCTCGCGTTGGCGGCCCTGCACGCCTCGGGGAAGCCGCGGAAGGACCAACAAGAAGGAGCGACCCGGTGCTCCTCTCGGCGAACCCCGAGGGCTCCCGCCCCGCGGGCCCCTCGCAGACACCACCCTGAAGGGGAGGAGGAGGAGGAGGGGGAGGGGGAGGAGGGGAGGAGGAGGAGGAGGAGGAGGAGGAGGAGGAGGAGGAGGAGGAGGGGCAGGGAGAGGAGGGGGGAGGAGAAGAGAGGAGGAGGAGGGAGGAGGAGGGAGGAGGAATGGCCGACGCTCCCATCCACATCCAAGCGTGGCGACGACCCCGCTCGGCGGCCTGAGACATGGCCCAGACAGGCTCGCGATGGGAGAGAAGAATCCGGGCAAGGGGCGTTTGGCCGTGTTCGGCCACTGGTGAAGGGGCTCTGGGACACACGAATAAATACACACAAATAAAAAATCCCCATGCTTTCCAATATTTTCTTCTGGGAGTGGACGACTACTTGTGTCTGTGTGTTTCTTTCCCTCCTGAACTGGGGCCCCTCGTCGGGCCTCGCGGCCGTCAGAGCACAGCTCGCGATCAAAAGCCCCAGGGAGAGGGTCGGGGCTGCCCGGGACCCCGCATCGAGAAAAAGAACGGGGCGTCGCATGTCTGGGGAAGCCCCTTGCGCAACGGAATCTCGCAAATGGAAGCCCCCAGAAGAGAGAAGCTCCTGGGGGGGGGGGGGCCCTGGTGGAAGCTGGAAGCACACATGGCTGGGTTCACGTCTGGAGGCCACCTTGCTGGATACACAGGCGGAGGGCCAGCTTGCCTGGCCGTACGAGGGCCGAGCACTGGAGAGACACGCGGCCACGTGCTGTTCCGGCCCTCGCCCAGCGCGGCCCCCTCGTGCACATCCGGCTTCCTGGCAGCGAGGGCGGGGCCCTGTGCTTGCCTGCACGCCCGTGAGCACTGTCTGACGGAGGGATGGGCACACGTGGCTGCACTGCACTGCACTGCTGGAACACTGAACTTGGATGGGCACGTCTCGTGATCCCCATCGCTCCCGCATTCCGCGGAGCATCTGCAAGCGGGGGGGCATCTGCGCGGGCGTCGAAGGCCGCACGATCCCACGGGCCAGCTCGACTGCCCCTGCCCGCCGCCGCTGCCATGCTATATGCCCTGCCGCTCCCATACGTTTCCACATCCAGGCACCCCCATGCCACGGTTCACCCTCGTGTAACACCAAAGGGGCCCCAGGACACACAAATATATACACACAAATGAAAATATTCACCAGATTTTCCTGTATGTTCGAGGTTTTTGTCTTCCCCCCCACTTCCCATATTTTCCTATTTTTGGGGGGAATCGACGATTAATTGTGTCTGTTTTTTTTCCCTCCTGAAATATGCCCTGCCGCTCTCATACGTTTCCACATCCAGGCACCCCCATGCCACGGTTCACCCTCGTGTAAAAACGGCGGTCGGGATGACCCAAGCAGCACAGTGAACTCAGGTGGCGGACGGGCAACCGCCGACTCCGTGAGAACAAGAGAGACCAGAACGGCAAGAGGCAGGAAGGCAGGCAGAAGGACGGAGGAGGCAGGAAAGGAGGACGAAGGAGACGATGCTCTGCCTCTCCCACATGTGCTGGGCCATCTCCCGCGCCGGCCTGCGGGAGCGCCATCGGAGCCGAGGCCGTCGTCCTCCAGGCCCTCGACGTCCAGCTGCAGGACACGCTGGCCACCCGTGTCGGTGGGCATCGGCAGACGTGCGGGCGCGGCTGGCCCGTGTCCCGAACTGTTTGGGTCTGCAGCGAGTTGGGCGGCCCAGCAGCGGCCAAGCAAACGGCGGGACACAGGGGCACAGGGGCGCAGGCGGGCGAGGGGCAAGGAAAAGAAGGGCCGCGAACCTGCTTCCCGAACACGGCAGGGAGAGGCGAGCGGTCGCACCGCCTGTTCCTCCTCTGTCGAGCCCTCCTCCTCTCACCCGAAGACCTCCCCCTCCCCCTCCGCTCAAACTTCCTCCTCCTTCTTTCCCTCCCCCGGCTCCTGGTGCCACTTGTCCCGCTGCCGACGCTGCTGCTGCTGCTGCTGCTGCTGCTGCTGCTGCTCCACATCTTCCTCCTCCCCCTCCTCCTCCTCCTCCTCCTCCTCCTCCTCCTCCTCGTCCTCCTCCTCCTGCTCCTCCTCCTCCTCCCCCTCCTCCTCCTCCACCTCCTCCTCCTCCTCCTCATCATCATCATCATCATCACCATCATCATCCTCCTCATCCTCATTATCATTCTTATCCTCAGCCTCGCCCATCATTAGCATCATCATCATCATCATCATCATCATCATCATCATCATCATCATCATCATCGTCATCATCATCAGCATCATCATCGGCATCGTCATCAGCAGCATCAGAACCATCATCATCACCCTCATCCTAATCCTCATCATCACCACATCATCATATCCTCATCGTCGTCATCATCATCAGCATCATCATCGTCGTCATCATCGTGGTCATCAACGCCGTCATTATCATCAACATCCACCACCACCACCATCACCATAACCATCACCATCACCCACCACCACCACCGTCATCATCATCATAATCTAAATCACCCGCGTCAGAATCACCGTCAGCAGCATCGTCATCGTCGTCACCACCACCACCACCACCACCACAACCACCACCACCATGACCACCATCATCACCATCAGCAGCATCAGCAGCATCATCAAAATCAGAGTCAGCACGGTCGTCATTATCGTCATCATCAGCACCACCGCCACAATAATCATCATCATCAGCATCATCATCATGCTCAGCATCATTGTCAGCCTCAAAATCATCGTCATCATCTTCATCAGCAGTAGCAGCAGCAGCAGCATCATCATCACCAGCACCATCGTCGTCGTCAGCATGATCACCAGCGTAATCAAAATCAGATTCGTCGTTGCATCGTCGTCGTCATCGTCATCGGCCCCGTCGTCGTCATCGGCATCGTCATCATCATAGCCACCGTCATCACCAGCGCCGTCATCATCGTACATAGTCAGCACCGCCAGCATTACCATCACCACGCATCATCAACAGCATCAGTAGATTCATAACCATCGTTAGCATCCGCATCATCAGCAACAGCCGCATCAGCATCATCATCAGCAGCAGCATCAACTGCAGCATCAACTGCAACAGCACCATCAGCAGCATTATCATCATTAACACCGTCGTCGTCATCGTCAGCAGCAGCATCATCGTCATCGGCATCATCAACGTCATCGTCATCACCACCACTACCACCACCGTCGTCGGCGTAGATATCGCCACTCGCATTATCGTGCCCATCTTCGGTATCGCGCATTATCCTCGTCCTCCTCCTCCTCCTGCTCCCTTCTCAAACCTCCTCCTGATGATCATCTCCCTCCTCGTCCTCCTCCTCCGTCGTTGCTGCTGAGCTTTGTTCATCGCCCCGAGTTTCAAAGAGGTTGCACCAAAGCAACCCATTCAATGCCACATGGACCAGGACCAGGGCCCGGAATGCGGTGTATAGTATCAGCAGTCTTTGTGAGCTTTGTCAAAATAGCCCTGGTACGATGCTGCGTCGGCTCCGATTGTGTCCCGTTTGCCACGACAAAAAACGAAGCCTGATCGAGAGGTTCAAAACCAAGTATAATGGTGTTTCTCCGCCGGACCTTGTGCCACAGAATCACGAAGAAGACTACATCTTCTTGGCTCGGGGACTTTTCCGTCATCCAGGAGATGGGTTCTCCCTCCCCACTCGCGATGATGTCGAAGATAGTCGCCTCGAAAACAGGTGGGCCCACGATCCAGAACGCGTCTCCCATGGTGTACCTTGCCATGTCTACGTGGACGGGTCCTGCGTTCCCCATGTTGTTAAAGAGCTTTCAAGGGCAGGGTGGGCGGTGGTTGTGGTTAATGATAGCGGCGACGAGGTTGCCCGCATTAGCTGTCTCCTGGTAGCCGCCCAATTGGTAAACGGCTCAGGGTTGAGAGTTCGGAGCCTACGCTGCTGCTGCCATGCAGACCCTCCCAGGGAGCTCCACTTACTCTGGCTGTAAGAATGTGGTGGTTCAGTCTAACGAACCCCTGCTGCGTGCTCGTTCCTAGGAGCGGGTGTACACTGGTGCGTCAGTCCATCATTAATCAGTCGACGGCGGTGCCAAAGGTAGGGCGCGTGTTGAGGAGTCTGAGGATCCCACGGACACCCTGAGCCTCCATGATATGGGGAATATGTTGCCTGATCACGCAGCCAAGAGCACGACCCTTAGGCGCCCCCAATCAGATGCGGATCGGGTCGCCTGGCTGGGGCGTGTCATCACAGTTGCGAAATATGGCATGCGTCGCTCAGTCGCGCTG